TTTCAAATTCCCTCATACACCAATGTTGTTGTTTTTTTCAGGACTATGAATCCCATAAAACCTGATTTTTAAATAAAAATTTCTCAGCTTCTTGATTTTTAGTTATTCTGAATCTATCTATCAGTTTAAAGTCAGACCAGGATCCTAGCAGAATGCAAACAGTGTGACACCTCTGCATATTAGAAATGAAGTTTACTAAGCATAAACTTGGTTAATAGGTTTCATAATAATTACTATGGAAGCCATTTTTAGGACTTTACAATAATTTAGAGACTATGTGGAACTTCTCTTACTACTGGTCCATTTAAATGAAACAGTATAGTGAAAAATGTGATTCAGTTCTTGTTGGAATAATGCCCAGTTACATTCTCAAAATTACCAGTTCCCGTATATTGACATTAAACATACTAAAAATATATTGTTATACAAATTTAATAGAATTTTCTTTTAGGTTCTCGGGTTGCAGTTTGTGAATTCTGAATTTAATCTCAAATACAAGAGCGCCATGTGGTATTGATTGTTTCAGTGAACAGTTCAATACCACACTGTTACTGAAGCTTGTGAGGAATGAATGAATTTTAAGGACAAACCTTGATGTATGATGTATGTAATAATGTAAAGCACCCAAGAGTTGAATACACCCGACATTCCAGAGAACCTCTCTGGCAGCTTTGACAAATAATAGCAGATAAATGCACACGCTAGGACTGGTTAAATAGCAAGAAATTCGATGGCTGTCACTTAAATAGAGCTCAGATATCCTATCCATCATACAGATTCTAGTATCTAGTTTCTGGTGTCCAGCAACAGGAAATAAAATTCACCCAGCCTCAGACAAGTGTAACACTGTGCTGCCACCCCAAACAGACAGAGTTGCATTAGCAAGAATTACAGAAGAGGTCACATGATGTCAAGCAAACCAGAAACACAGCTGAAGTCAAAAAAGATAACAAGCATCATCTCTAACCACTTGTTATGTCTGCCCTGAAGGAATAAAGAAAAGCAAAAACCCTCTCCCACCCTGACACGTCTTCAGATTCAGCAGGTTCTTTTGAAAGTAAAAGCATCTCCACCAATCTCCCAGATCAGGTTACTCTGTCAGTTCAGACTGAGGGACACACATCCTATCATTAACTCGCATAAAATCCTCGGCACAACGTCCCCGGAGCAGAGCCCTGCTTTAAAAATAGACACACACTTCAAAAAGATTGTGTACTCTTGTTGGTGTCTTTACTCTGTTGTAACTGATAACTGTCTAACAGCTTGATTTGAATGTCACAGAATGAGGAGAGGAGGAGGACGGGATCTTTTCAGACGTTGCCCTTTTCTGGATTCCACACCCACCTCCTCTTCACCAGTCAGCGACATGGTCTAAAACAGCCCGGCTTTTCACCTGTCACGCCGCATCGCAGCCGCGGACAGAGTGAAAATGGCATCCTAGAATTTGTGGCGACAGTGGAGACTAATGGTCGACAACATAAACAGAGAGAGAGAGAGAGAGAGAGAGAGAGAGAGGACACCCACAGATCACAAAACAATTCAGCCCATGCAAAGGTTTTTGTCAACTAAATGTATTTAAATTTTAAACGATTTATACTTGATTCAATTCACAAAATTCAAGCAAAAGAACAGCTTGAGGAACCCTGAAGCCTTGCACACCACACAAATCTATGGTGTTACAATATCTGCCCTGGAAACAGAATAAATATTATTGAACATGATTCATTTTTTTACATTCAATTATGTGTAATCGGTATATACACAAAACGTTCTCTTTATACTCTTATATGAATTTAATACTTCGCTAATGGCATGCACAAACAATCTCAGCCTTCATAAACTGTAGGCACTGATCTGATGTAGTCGTATGTGAAAAATAATAGGCTAATATATATCTAAAAAAAAATTCTATTCATATTTAGTTAGAGGCAGAGTCCAGGAATATTATACCAACTCCTAAACCATTAGATATTGAGATAGAAGTTATATCTCAGTTGTAAATTCATAAAACCTTACAGGTGGGCCCACTATGTCTAACTAATGATACATTAAAAGACATGAAAAATTAGTCTTGAACAAGCAAATTAATCACAAGTTAAATGTGTTAACTAAAATAATAATTGAATGAAAATCAACAAATTACATTTTATTATATTGTGGTCAATCAGACTTGTGAATGAATGTCTCCTAACAAATCATGACACGTTTGTGCAGTGAATAGTTTGTGTGATCCAGTGCAGTTTAAACGACTTTGAAAGCAACAGCTGCATATTGTGCTGAGTTTCCCTTTAACAACAAAGGTTATAGACTCGGTTGGCACAATTCTCCCTCTCATATAATATATTCTATACATATTTTTACCCTAAATTTCTCTTTGGCAATTTCTCCAGCAAAACGAACACACACACACTCACTCACTCACTCACTCACACACAAAATGTTAAGCTCAAATATTAGCTGTAAAATATAAATAACTTAAATTTCAGAATATTAATTTACATCAACAATAATGGCTTCCAAATTGAATTCAAATCACTTTGAGTAATGAATGAGTCAAAAGTCCAAGATTTTAGTATATAGAATCCTACATTAAAATACAAGGATATAGGCATGCAGTAAGTGCTCGCGGTTGTCTGAGTTGATATTGCCTGTTGCATTCATCTGGATCGTGTCGGATTCACGCGGCCGCACGGCTCTATAGCTGTTCTTCGTAGAAAAGTAAATAAGCTTGAGAGTTCAGCACTCTGGACTCCGGTACAGTCTGTACGCTGGTGTCGCTAACGTACACCCACTGGCCTTGTGGGGCTGAACTGGCCTCTCTGGAACCTAAAAAAAACATACAGAGATGTTGGTCTCAATGATTCAGAGGAACACAAAGTGGCTGAACAACAAAAACACATCCAGACTAATGATCAGTGTTAGCATTAACCAGTAAAACACAACCAAGTGAAGATAAAACAGGCTGTGAATTAAATAAAAAAAGTTTTTAATCGCACCTAATACTAAAACTTGTAAACATTGAAATGAAAATGTGCATTTAAAATAAACTGAATATTTTATTAAATGTTATTTAACATTATATTTGAAATCAATCATTTAGACTTTTAGTGCAAATCATCAGATTACGATATTTGCTCATCAGTTTTTTTTTTTTTTACAATAAATCTCTATAACTTTTCATTTGAAAAGACCTAAACAATCATCACCTCAACCCCTTCTAATAAAAATGTCACATTTCGATCCTCTTGATACTTCAGGAGTTATATACACATCCCTACTGATTTGACCCTCTTTTTTCAATTTTGTCTTTTCTGGTTCTAAAAACGCAAGAAGGACGACTGAAAAAAAAAAGCATGCAATTGTATTTCCCCTGGTGCCTTTCGAAGAGTCTCCCACTCTTACCTTATACCTTCATTACAACAATTCAGCTTGAATTTGTGCACTACTACAGTTAACTACCGAGCGTACACACTATTTTCTCTTAGCTCTCCGTGGGCTTTTCACTCTCTGTTCCAAATGCAGCTGAAAGGCAGGCTCTTTCCTTGAATAGAGAGTACAGAAGAACGAATCTATATATCGACAACAATAAACAAATTCCGATTAGCCTTTGCTGACCAAGCTGCATCTTCAAGGTTGTGGTGAATGGAGGGCCAATGCCAGGATAAAATAAACCCTTTGTTTACCCAGAGGTTATTCAGGCCTTTCAGAACCAGCTGCGAAGAAAACATTGACCCACACATGGAAACTACATATTGCCTGGGAGGCATTATACCTGACTGGTTCCTGCGCTGCTCAGGTTTACGTTGAGGAGTGCGGACCTTCACATAGGCTGCGTAGTGCCCACCTCGCATCGATCCGCTGTGCTCCACAATGCCATACAAGCTGTAAAGCACACGCTCTCCTGACCCGAGGTTCTGCCACACGCATAAATACTAAATTAATATGGCACACTTAAACGTTAACGTTAAAGCTGCACAGATTTATAAATCACTGATTTTATGTACAACTCCGATCAGTACCTTACAATTGGCAGCGCAGAAAGGAGCCAGGTCCAGCATAAGAGGAAAATCCACATGTCTATTAACTTTCCTCAGATTCATCCCAGCCTATGAAAGTGAAGACAGCTCAATCAGTGCATCGGCACACAAAGAATCACATAACCTTGCTCAGAAAAAGATGATTATGGATTTTCTTTTCTTTTTTTCTCGAAAGCTTTGTTGATAGACTCTGAAGATGAAAATGAACATATCATCAAATTAAACTTGACATTGTTTGTCTAATAGTGCTGATATTGTTGCAGTCGTGTTTAGGTTAAAAACTGGCTCAAACGACATAAAAACACAAATGACGAGTACAAGTTCTATGAGTGAAATACCTGGTGAAAGCGTTTGAGGTGAAGAGTGACCACCGGTGGAAGTGCAGAGATGAGCATCTGTTTACGGGCACTGGTGTACACTTTCTCAGCCTTCTTATCTGAAAGATATATATATAAGACAAGTGACAGGCAACAAATGATGTTAAGGAGAACTGAACACTCAAGCTTTTTGACAAATTTACCAGCCATAAATATATCTTACCACACATAAAGTGTTAATTCTGAATCTTGACTACACCACAGAAAGCATAAGAAGGGAACAAGGCATTTTTTTAAACGAATGAATAGGCAGAAATTGATAACAGAAACTGCAGTGCTCAACACAATGGCAAGCACATAGTTGGCCCAAAAAAAACAATACTTGGAATGTTTAATATTTGACATTATTTCAGTTAAACAGTTATATATTATTCATTACATTCCATAAGTATTTTTTTTGTTAATAATAATAATTTGTTACATTTATATAGCACTTGTCTGGGAACTCAAAGCGCTTTACATGGAAGGGGGAATCTCCTCAACCACCACCAAAGTGCATCATCCACCTGGATGATGCGACGGCAGCCATAATGCGCCAGAACGCCACCACACACCGCAATTACTGGTGGAGAGGAGACAATGATGAAAGAAGAGGAAATATAGTAAATATGCCCCCAGTATATGGGGATGATTAGGAGGCCATGATGGACAGAGGCCAAAGGGCAAATTTGGCCAGGATGGAGGGTTAAACCCCTACTCTTTCGAAGGACATCCTGGGATTTTTAATGACCACAGAGAGTCAGGACCTCGGTTTAACTTCTCATCCGAAGAATGGAAAGTTGCATAAAAAAATTCATACCAAGGCTGCATTTATTTCATAAAAATACAGTAAAATAGTAATATTGTGAAATATTATTACAATTTAAAATAACATTTCTATTCAACTATTTTTCTTTTTTTTATTTATTCTAATATGCTGATTTGGTCCTCTAGAAACATTTCTAATTATTATCAATGTTGAAAACAGTTACTATTGCTATGAGAATAGTACTGTGAGAATACACACCACTCCTCTTCATCTGCCTCTGCCTCCATTCAGTGCAGTTTTCACAAAGCAGTTTGTTGTTGCCCATGAGCAGCTCAACAGAGGTGAACTGGTGCAGACAGGACTGTACCGAGCACTCTTTAGAGCTGGGGGTGTAGCTGTGACAGAGGGCTTGGAAGGCCCCTTGGTGGTGTTGACGGTCTCTCTCCCGGATTTCAGTTGGTTCCTCTGGGCTGTTGCTGACAGGTAAAGTGTCGGTGGAAGTGTGCACTAGGCCCAGCTTGGACACAGCGCTGACAAGCTGCTCTACAGCGCCGCCCTGCTGAGGTCTAATTGGGGCTAAGGGAGTGTGGCTTGGGCTCAGGTTAGGTTTTAGACTTGGATTGTGTGCCGTTGTGGTTGCAGTCGTGGTGGTTAAGACTTTATCTGACGTGCTACTATGACCGGATACAGATGGGATTCGAGGAGACCATTCGCTCTCAGAGGCCTCGCTGTCTGCATCATTACTGCTGTCCTGAAGGTTGGAGTCTTTCTCACTGCAGTCTGATTGGCTGCCCATCGTATCCACCCGGTAACTTGCCAGGCCACGACCCGCCACACAGAGCTCCTCATCTTGTCGGCTAGAAACCGAGTCTGCGCCTCTCTCATCGTGAGAAGTGGATGAATGGCGACCCTGTAGCTTCTGATCACATATACACAAAATATAAAGTCACATTAAAAACAAGGATGCTAGGAAGCAAGTAAATTACCATTCAAAAGTTTAGGGTCAGTAAGATTTTATTTAAAAAACATGAATATGTTTATAGAACAAGGATGCATTAGACTGATCAAAGGTGACAGTAAAGATTTCTATTTTAAATAAATGCTGGTCTTTTGCTATTCATAAAAGAACCCTGCATGTATCACAGTTTTCACAAAAATATTCAACAGCACAATAATTGATAATAATACGAGATGTTTCTTGAGCACCAAATCAGTATATTAGAATGTTTCTGAAGGATTATGTGACTCTAAAGACTACGTTTTACCATCACAGGAATATGTTAAATTTAAAATACATTCAAATGGGAAACAATTATTCTAAATTACAATATTACATTCATCAATCCTTGGTGAGCATAAGCAAAAAACTAAATCTTACAGACTACAAACATCTGAATGATAGTGAAATGATATAAGAACTACATAATGCTCCTCTTATAATAATGGATCCACCAACCTGTCCGCTCAACCTCCTGCTGTTTCGATTGGCTTGTGAATGGGCAGCTGACGAGTCATCGTGAGAGACCAGACCGTCTTGCTCCCGCCCACTTTTCCCCAGTCTACCAGCGTTTGTGGGTTTAGAGATCTGGCCAAGAAAAAAAAGATAAACCCTCAAAAGAAAGCTCAGGACATTCAATGCAGGGACAGATTATTAAATGGAAGTACAATAAAGAAAAATGTTTTACAATAATGTGGAATGACAAATTAAGGCTGCTCTCACCCTTTCCTCTATGATGGGAAGGGAAATGTCAATGAAGGCTTCCTTTACTGTGGAAATCTAGGAGTGAAGCATATAAACATGTTACATTGTGGTATTCAGAGAGACTCTAAAATGTATCCCATATGATTTGTCTTCAAGCAGTCCCTTTATCACTGTATTATTTAAATAAATAAGATCTCTTTTAAAATCATTAACGATCCGAATCATGTCCTATGCAGTGAATCTGAGATGATGCCCTCAGGCAGAAGGTACAGGTTACCAAACTGTAGATTAAATAGGTTTAAATTTTCATTTGTACCGCTCTCTATTAAAATACTGAACGATCAACTAGGGTGTGTGGGTTAGAATTTAATTGTGACATTAATTAGGTTAATCATGTCGGGTGTGACATTAATTTTTAACATTAATATAATTTGTATTTATGTAATTCATGTTTTGTGTGTTATGTATAATGTATACTGTGTTACATCTGTGTCCCGAAGGCCAAAGATGAATTTCTCCATTAGAAGACAATAAAGGCTAATCCTATCCTATCCTCTTAATAAATGCTATAGTATAAAATCAATATATTACAAATATTACAAAAATATATTTTACAACACACAATGTGTACTGTATTTATATTTCAAATGAATCTATAAATAATTATATAATCTTTGTACATGAAAAATGAGAAATGCTCACATGTTCACACTCTTCACACATTATGGTGCTGGTTAGCTCTCCGACGAATATCCGATCTACAAAATTCATTTTCACTCCGTCCTTTCCATAAGCTGTAGAACATGAAAACAAGCCAAAATTATACACGCACACACATACAAACAAACAACTCAAATATGTATATTAAGCGGAAAACAAATAATAGATCCTTTTTAAATGATTATTTAAATGTAAACAGTGCCATTATTTCTAGAAGCTTGTGAATGCAAGCTGTCACTAGATGGCAATATTGTTCTGAGTGATGTAAAAAGCTGGTGACAGAAGCACCCTTCACTTGTCGTTTGGTCTCCTCATCAGCGGTCTTCTCCGTGGGGTTGTTAAAGGCTTTGAGGATTCCTGCTTTAATGCGCTGTCAATGTAAACACAATGTGATGCCACTTTGTTAGATAACGAAGCTCACACAGTTGCTGTCACAAAAAGCTCCTTTTATCAAGTTCAAAATAATAGAGGAACATTAAAGACGTTTATATCTTTTAATAATGAAAAAGCTGACATTAAGTCTAAATAAAAAATAAAAAATAAAAAAATGTCAACAATTTATTCATGTGAGAAACATTTTCTGTATTTGTCTATCGATAAACAATCAAATAAGCCTTTTCCCCCTCAGAATTTAAAATGTTCACCCTTGATGTTTTCTTTTGTTTCTCAGGTTTTTGTTGCGGTAAATGAACTAAAGGAATCGTAAGGCCATGAACACGTGCACATTTACAAAAGTAAATGTGTGCTTCAAATATTTTACATGGCAAATGCATTGTATATGTGGGCATAAAGACTTTTGAAGGCGAGTGTCGCTGTGCTCTTAATGAGAGGTGACGTGGTCAGTGACTGTGTTGGTGAGAGAGCTGTTAGAAGACACAGTCACAGTAAAGCACCAATCAATAGATAATTGGCCGTGGTGGCGATGTCTGTGGGGCTCGACCAGTCTCCCCCATTGTCCCGTCCCCACGCTCAGGACGGCCTATTTAGGTCAAAAGCCTGGTTAATCCCTTTCCTTCAGCCAGTCAACCCCCCTTCTGTGTCGGACCCCGCTACAACACACACTAATTAATCACACAAACACACACATACCCTAAAATAACTAGGCCACCACACACTCTTGAGAAGTTGAGCTCACTTAAGCGGCCCCTTTCTTAGCATTTTTATTCAACAGCTAATTGGTGATAATTCATTGATGTTAATTAGCATATTGTGAGCAATGATCCTATTGGCTTAATTAACATAAATATTGTGGTGTCTATGTTTAGTGACTGCTTAAGGGGTCTCAGCACTGTTACACCATAGCTAAGCCACGAATAAAAGCATTTTGAAGTGTGCTTCTATAAAACAACCCATCAAAATCGCAATTATCTTGATCGTAATCCCAACTATTTTTGAAATTGACAATTTTTTTTTTTGCATAAAACTTAGTTTATTAAAGTTTTTTGTTTTTAAAAGAAGTCACCTAAGATCACCAGATTATTATTAAATAATACAATAAAAACTTAAATATTATGAAATACTACAACAATTTAATTGTTATATATTAAAATGTAATTTATGTCTGTGAAGGCAAAGCTGAATTTTCAGCATCATTACTCCAATTTTTCGTGTCACAGAAATCATTCTAATATGATTTGCTGCTCAAGTAAAATTTTTTACTATTATCACGTTGAAAACAGCTGTGCTGTTTGATATTTTGTGGAAACCGTGATACATACATTTTTTTAGGATTCTTTAATGAATAGACGTAAGAAAAAGCATTTATTTAAAATACAACACAAGTCTTTCATAACATTAAAGAATTTTATACTGCAATATTTGCAACTTCATGCTTCCTTGCTGAATAAAAGTATTAATTTATTTTATTAAAATAAATCTGACCCTAAACTTTTGAATAGTTAATTTATATATATGTTTTTATTTGTTATATATTAAAAGTTATTCGTATGTATTGAAATACAAGCTGTCTGTAAATTTACTGAAGTACATGATAACAAGGTATAGGGCTGGGCGATAAGGACAAAAAAAATTATCTCAGTAATTTTTTGCTGAATAGCAATATACAATTATATATCTTTCTACATTTTTCTATTTGGTTAGAAAAGAAAAAAAAACAATACTTGTATCATTTTATTTTACATGCTCAATGTTTTCCAACAAACAATGTTCATATTGACAGGCGTAAAAACAAATATAGTGAATGTAACCTATATATTGTGTGCAAAAATGACATTACATTCTACCATTGGAACAACTTTACAATCTAAAAACAAATGTTTTTCAAACCAGTTAAAATCCCCAAGTTAAAAATTTAAATAACTAAAAACAAAATGTTAAAAGGTAAGAGCAACACACATTCTCTCATCTAAGATTAATAATTATGTTAGCCTACATTTGATGATTTCCACTCTCATCCACTCCAAACCAGCAAAATGGAAATATTTGGATGGCCTTCTAACGTTTACAGATGGAGAATACACTTGTAGTATATTCTGAAGCCCTTAAGAGGGTTAGTTCACCCAAAAATGAGAAATCAGTCATTAATTACTCACACTCATGTCATTCAAAACACTCTAGACCTTTGCTCATCTTCAAAAAGATATTTTTGATAAAATTCAAGTCTGAGAGCTTTCTGATCCCCTATACACAGCAACACAATTACCACTTTTCAAGGCCCAGAAGTAGGTAGTAAAGATGTCGTTAAAATCTAAAAAAAATTGACTACAGTAGTTCAATCTTAACTTTATGAAGCAACGAGAATCCTTTGTGTGTGCTTACAGTTTGGAACGACACAAGGGTAAGCAATTAATGACAGAATTTTCCTTTTTGGGTGAACTAACCTTTTAATATCAAGCATGTCTCATGTTTAGGACAAATTGGATTATGTACTTCCCATGTAGCAGCTCACTCTGTGTCCTCTGCTATTTTTCAGATGTGCTCGTATTATCAAACTAGTGTATAAACAGTATTGCCTTATCCTATTTCGTATATATCAATATATTGTACAAACTCGATATAAAGCCCATCACTAATAGAGGAACATTTAAACCAGATTGTTTCCTGTGTTCTCCCCCCCTGCAGCCCCAAAATGTGGAGGGAGGGAGGGAGTGATGTGGGGACGGACCTCCATCACAAAGCCTCAACAAGCAGCTGACTGTTTCCCAGGATGCACAATGAGGCCAGTCGCGCCACTTGCAAAGTTCCTAAGTGGCACAACTGTCCACATTCACAAGTCTGAATGGGCCTGGCTGGCCCTGGGGCTCATCGCCCAATGCTGCACCCGCTTTCTTAGGGCAGTTAGGGCCACTGGTGGGGATGTGTGGGTCTTGGCCCCTGGCATGTCCGTATTAAGAGACCCACAAGCTGTATCATTCTACAAGAAGCACGCTATCAAACTACTATGCATCTGCTCACGAGAGGTCAATGTCCCAACATCAGTATGCAAAAGTAGCCCTTTGCAGTGACTGGTATTGTTTATGTATGCACTGAGGAGGACTGAGGGCATAACGCCGAGAACAAGACCCCCTATAGATTTGGTATTAACATTGATTTGAGGAACTCGAATTGACAGTTCTAGAACTTGACCACAATGCACATATATTTTAAATGCTCAATCTTTAAACAAAAGCTACCTACTCACCGCCTACTCACCTGTTTTTATATTTAGATATAAAGCCAAATACCAACTTAAAAAAAAAAAAAAACTAAAATGAAATATTTTTGATGTAATTTTTATTTTTATTATTTTATTTTAATGCATTTTTAGAGAATTAATCTGGATATGGAGCAAGGAAAGTATTTTTAATGATGATGCACATTTTTGCCAGGTCTAAGTGGTCTGACTTTTTGTGATTGGATCACATTAGACTAATTTTCATACCATGTGTAAGAAAAACTAAAAATCACACACACTCACCTTTGTCTCCTCCACTCTCATAGAGTCCAGGAGGTAGTGCAGCAATTCCTGACTGTCCTGTTGCTGGTAACCCTTAAAGCGAGGGGCCCTGCACACAGACACCACACACACACACAGAGAGAGGCACAGAATGAGAATTCCTGTCACACAAACACATTCACACAAGTGTAAATACATCCAAAGGGACAAAAGGAGCCAAAGCCACGAAAACACCAATTAGCCACACACAAAAAGCAATCAGCAGCATATAGATGAGTAAAGACGAGAGAAGAATGGACATAATCTTCTCTCAAGGCCTTTTCTCTGATGCTACATGAGGTGACTCGCTGTCTCTTGACAGGTTTCAGGACCTTAGAGGCGGCTGTTATTTTTCCCTGACAATTTTCATTCACTTTACATTTCATCATTCAACCAGCTGAGGTTGGTCACACACATTGCAGCCAGCCACACATATACTTTCATATGCTGCCAGACACATAAAAGTTTTCAAAGTATTAATTAACCAGTTCTCTGATTCTATTGAAATTCATTTCGAAGATCGGAATTAAACAAAAAATCTAAAAAGGAAGTCTGTGAGTATTCAATTTCAACATTTTAATGTGTCAAAAAACATACAGATTATACAGAAAAGTAATTCATGTTTTAAAAAGTGTCATCTTTGCTCACTGTTGTTGATGTGTAATTTTGTTTGATTCTTCTAGGCTGGTGTGTTTATTTTACATAGGTTTACTTTTGTAATTGATATTTCAAATGGTAAAAAAAATAATATTCTCACTCAAATTGAACCGAGAATAGCTAAGTGCTGCTAAGCAGAGGGTCGCTGGTTTGATTCTCAATACCGTCAGGAAACAACTGAGGTGCCCTTGGCCTTGACTTGAGCAAGGCACCAAAACCCCAATTGCTCCCCGGGTGCCACAGTGAATGCCCAATGTAATTCTGCATGTAAGTGTTGATCAATGTGATACTGCCTTTACGGTAAGGGTACATGAATTATCATGAATTCATGTATAAATTAATGCATGAACTATGCATTCATTCATGCATTAATATCTCATGAATCATCAGGAACTAACACGAGTTCAACGGTTTTCATTCATGACTTCATGAATGAACAACACCTTAATTAAAACATTAACTAAGATGAGCACATCATCATGAATTATGATTTATTACGCATGATCATGATGTTTTCTTTGTTCAGAGTTGTGCCACCATTAATAGCACATTGTTCATCAGTGTTTCAAAGGACCTAGTCACCACTTTAGTTGAGGGGCCACACACATGATGAAGTCATTGATAGATAATGCTTAGTTAATGATGACTTCTGTATTTGATTTGGTCTATTTTGGTGTCTGTCCAATACAGTAGTCATCATTAATTAAGCATTAATCTATTAATGACTTCATCTTGTGTGTGGCCCCTCAACTAAAGTGGTGACTAGGTCACTGACCTAGACAAAAAACAAAGAAAACATCATGATCATGAGTAATAAATCATAATTCATGATGACGTGCTCATATTAGTTAATGATTTAATTAAGGTGTTGTTCATTTTTGAAGTCATGAATGAAAAATATTGAACTCTTGTTAGTTCCTGATAATTCATGAGAAATTAATGCATGAATAAATGCATAGTTCATGCATTAATTTATACATGAATTCATGATAATTCATGTACCCTTACCGTAAAGTGTTACCACCATTTTTAACAAAGACCAACTGAAAATTTTTTTAGAAAAACATCATTATAAATAAACCAGTATTTTCCATTAGAGTTCTTTAAATGTAATTTTCAGCAAAGATTTTCCACCTATTTTCTTAAACCGACAACAGCAATTTAAGGCATTTATGATTTTTTTTTTTTTTTTTTTTTACGGGAGCCTAAATTTCGGTCTTTCAAACACATTTAATCCCACATGTTCAAAATTATTGAAATTACAGAACAGAACCAGACAAGACCACCCTAAATATGCCAGACTGGAGGACAGTGGCAAAGTGGGAATGTTTGTCCTACCTCCCAGCTAACCCAGAGGTAAATCGAATGGAAAAACATCTCTTTAGACTCAGCAACCCAGGCCAGATGTGGGCCAGCTGTGGAGAACATAAGGGCAGCTGGAGCCGGCCCTGCATCAACCTGTTGAGCAGTGAGGCTGGATGACTGGTCAAGATGATGGGAAGGCCATTTGGTCTGGTGATGAACCCAAGGATAAAGGGGCGAGTCAAAGTGTTGGATCAGGTTAGGACTGAGGCTGTCCAGATGCTCAATGCACTTTGTTACAGTATTACCTGCTAAGCTTGCAAGCACTGTGTGTGTATGTGTGTGTGCGTGTTGTGTGGGGGCAGACTGGGTGAATTGGCAGGACGGGCAGTACGGATGGTCAGGCAATCTGGAACGCCTCTACCATGGGCTGATGAGGTCTGTCGTTCTATTTGGATCTGACTGGAGTGTGTTTAAGAACGTCCAGCCACCTGCTTCTCACACAGGTCATGAGCAGGGGGTCTAGAGACAGAGCCACTTTCTCAGTTTCTCTCTGCACCACCATTCTAATATATTTATCTGATAACCTCACTTTAAAAAAAATGGTTCAAAAGTTTGGCGCATTAGAGGATTTGGACTTAGTTTTGCAGAGCTCTTTCTTCAGTTGCACCCATTGCCAGTAACACTTCCTTTCCACCATCTCTTTTTGATGGGGCTTTCAATATCTGGAAGTCACAGGGTCTAATTACAAATGATCAGATATTTATAGATAATAATTTTGCTTCATTTGACCAACTTAAAAATACATTTTCTTTGCCCAATTCACATTTATTCCGGTATTTTTAAGTTCAGAGCTTTGCCCGTAAACATTTTCCGGAGTTCCCATCTGCCCCTCCTAGTGGTGTCTTGGAGTGTATTTTAGACCAACAAAAATGTATGAGGGGTGCCATTTCAAAGAGTTAGAGTATAATAAATGACAAGCAAACCCCATCTAGCAGATCATTAAAATCTCTCTGGGAGGAGCAGGACGTAAGTATTTTGTTAGAAGATGAAACCTGGGACACTATCTTAAGGATACATTCTTCTTCAGTTAGCTTTAGACAGAGGCTTATTCAAATTCAAGGTAGTGCATTGTATTCATTGGTCTAGGGTGCAACTTGGCAAGATATTTCCTGATTTAGACCCCACCTGGCCACGCTGTGTTGTGAAGCAGCCTCTCAGTTTCAATCTTTTTGGTGCTGTCCTAAATTGTTAAGGTTTTGGGGGGGAATTTTTACCTTTTTTTATTATTATTAAAAAAGTTTGCTGCATTAAATTCATCGGAAGTAACAAAAATACTTTTACATTGTTAAAAAAAAAACAATTTCAAATGAATGTCATTCTTTTGAACTTTCTATTTATCAAGGAATAAAAAAAAATACATGTGTATATCAGATACGTTATTTTTTTTTGACTGATACCAATACAGATTATTTTTATGTTTAAGTGTCCAAAAACAAATATGCAGAAGCAATTTTAAAATGTCTCCAGATATCTGCATCTGTCAAACTAAGCTGATCATGCTGGTATAGCTCAGCATAAGCAGCAGAACTGAGTGAAAGTGTTCTGGAGGGAAGCTGACGGGTGAGATGGGCTCCAGTAGGAGAGGTGGGAGAGAGACCGAGAATGTTCTGGAAGCTCATTCCACTGGAAGAGAAGGCTGAAGGAGCCTGTAGCGGTATGCCCAATATGGCCCTGTCACAGACGGACAGCTGTAACCACTAACACAATTAACAGCGGATGAGTTAGTACCAGACGCCAGGCAGCCTCAGCACAATGCTGCAATGCACACATGCACACACAAGCATACTACATCAGACGAATATAACTCCAATCTTACAGTGAGCACAGAACATACACAACAAACAGTTCTATGAAACCGATCTGTTCTGATTATGACAATAGATGAACATAAAATTTACTTCATAAATTTAGGTTTTCTAAGAGCATTGGAACTAAAAAAACAGCAACAAACAAGAACAAAAACAACAACCAAAAAACTGTTGTTGAGAGTATGAACTAAATGACTGTTGAGAGTATGAACTAAATGAGTATGAACTAAAATGAGAAATAGCTTATGTTTTAACTTGTTTTAAATCATTTTAAGACAACTTGAGAAAGACACTTTGCCTTTAACAAAAGCCCCCAACCAGAGAACCAATACATTATTCGGTAAACAGCCAAAAAACTGACAATAATCTCAACATGAAACATGCAAAGGGTTTGAGAGCTGATTACGATACAAAATTCAAATATAGTTACAAAAAAATAAGATAAGGCCATTTTGAGCCTGGATCCTCAGTAGCACCAGGAGCATTGTGTGCTGAGCAGGGAAGGCTGCTCACTGCTCTTTGGACCGCTGCTGGCACTGGTGCTTCTTATCTGTCCAGCTGGCAGCGTGACCTGGCCCTCGACCAACCATGCCAACAGCACTCAGCTGTGTAACACACACAAACTGACACACGCACTACTTGTCCTTCACCCACTTAATGGTTGGTGTTCATCCCACCTTCAAAAATACTGTCCTTTAAAGCACGATGTCTCAAAAGATGCCATTCTGCCACATTGTCCAACATAGCAAATGTACAAGATGGTGTTCAAGATGGCGCAGTAGTTCAAGTACACTATTAGACCAGCAGCTGTGACCCGCAGTTTGCCAGTCAACAAACGCATTAAACAAACAGAATATTTCCTGTCAAGGACATGTTGGAACGATCAAGCACACACATAAACTGTGCAGCACAGAAGGCCTTCACTTGACCCTATACTAACTGCTGCTCTGTGCTGTAGTGCTAAAAGTGTGTGCATGTGAGTCTGCTGTGCAGAGAGCAAATTAAAGGTGTATGTGAGGCAGAAAGAATCGAGGTGCGTTCAATTCGACCGTAAGTGGACTGCACTGGGTATTTCGCCATCTTAAGTGAGATTTCAATTCGAACATGTTCAGTTCGAAGGGCACTGCAAATGGGATAGGGAATAAGGGAACGTCGATACTTCACAGGAAGTCAGTGAAGTCCACTTCAACTGATATACCGTGTTCAGGGAGTAGGGAGCAGTGAGCACTGCGCAGGGACCCTGTCGAATGGAACGTAACCTCAGTGTTTTAAAGGCACTCTATGCAAGATCTGTACCTTAATATAACAGCTTCAAAGTCGTTTTGGTGGTTAACAAAGTCATAGTAGGGCGAATCATCCTGGTAGGAAAGCTTGGGGGGGACGCCGCCGGAAAAACCAGCCATGCAAGTTTGAGAGTGGCGCCCCTGACACAGCGCGTGAGAATCACGAAATGGTTTACGGCAACAACGTCACACGCATCAACAACATCATACTGTATGAAGCTACTTTCGAAAAAGGGAAAGAGAATCGGACCGTGCTAGAATAGAAACCGGACAAGAGTCCACTCGGTCGGGCTTTCACTCGTTGGCGCGAGCTTAAAAGCTGCACTGGATTGTAACTACGATGCTGACCTGGCGATCTTGTTGATGGACTTGTAAGTAAATCTCTTATTTATAAACTTGTTTGTATTTGTATACTTGTCTCTATATTGTATGTTGCTGCACTGGCTTGTGGTATGTAATTTTTTACGGTGCTGTTCATTCATCCGTTGTTGATAATTAGACCAGTTCAATAATTCTCACATATGTCTATAATAGCTTTCGATTACCAGAGCTTTAAGCAGACTTCCTAAAAACAGTCGTTTCTCTTAGTCTTGTTGTTTTTTCCGTTATGTTTTATTGCCGAGCTTGCCACAAGAGCTAGTTTGCCAGCTGAACTCAGGTGTTGTGATGTGTATTTATCACGTATCTTTCGTCCTGTGTCTGGTTCGGATTTCTTATGACGTGTGTAAGTTACTGTTATATCAAGTTTATCTGACTAACAGTTACTTCCCGAAATTGTGTTGATTATGAATCAATCGAATCTTGACGCTGTTGATGTTGATTCTTGCGATTACCATGAGGACATAGTCAATATCTCACATAATTATTAGGACATATATAAGCCTAGAGGTTGTAAATAATTGAACACAATTTGCTATTATGATAAATTGTAATCATGTCTAAATCATAACGTCCAATGTTATGAAATAATGCGACGTACATTTAACTTGATTGATGTCATCTGACATTTTGTAATGTTTACATTACAATCAAAAAACATGAATTAAATTATACAGTAGCCTATACACTATAGGCTATTTACTTCTGATTTTGCAGAAATCATGTAAAAACGCTATAAGCCAGCAAACGCGATAGGCAACTTTATTATTAAAAAGCAGTCTAGCACTTGACAGTAGTTCAGTAGATATGCAGTAACAGGGGAATAACGGTTATTTACGACAGTGCAAGTACACCACAGCGGCTCTAGAGGTCACTGTTTTACAAAAAAACCAGAGAGTGCATAGTGTGCCTTTAATGCTTTCACATGTTAGACACCAGACTTGTGTGTGACTACATAGGGTGACAATTGTGTTTGATTTGTAAACACAAGCAAAATGATCAGTCTCAACCCCCAAATAGTGTGGATACATTTTCAGTATTTGAGCTTTTGAAATAATTCACATCTGCAGAAACCATATGTACTGGTGTTGAGAAATGTTAGCTGCTACCTGCAATACATAAGTATGTTAAAAAGGACAAAACTTTCATGGGGTGTATTTACATTCACATACACTACTGTTCAAAAGTTTGGGTTCAGAAAGCAATTTGTTATTTTATTTAGCAAGGATTTTAAACAGATTAAATTGATTAAAAGTGACATGATGGAGTTTTGGTTCCTTAAACTGTTTGCCGCCATTGGCTTTTGGCTTGCTGAGTTGGGGACATTAAATTTCAAATTTAACTTAATATTCAACACTGATATTGATCTGCCTGCATTGACACCATTATATGAGAACTGAACTGAGCTCGACGATGACATGACGGTTTTTGTACTTTTTCAACATAATTGGGCATTTTGAGTTCTTTGAGACATCCCGAAGCATCTTGTGCTTATCTCTTGAGACGGCCCAGCCAGAAGAGATTGTTCTAAAACCTTTATTTTTAAATCCATTTATTTTAAGTGCAGTGAAATTTTCATTAGCTTTGGAAAAGAATCAATTTCAACAACTGTCCTTCTGAGAACATTACAAAATGTACAATACAAGTAGTACTTGCAAAAAATATATTGCTTTTTATTTATTAACATTACCAAAATGCCAATGTCTACATGTTAAAGGGGAAAAATATTATTTTTTCATGGAATATACTTACTTTTTCACATCATTGTTTTATGCATTCGTAATGGCTGATGTGATGTGTATATGCTCAAACGAATTGGTGTGCCCAAGGCTGAGATGACGCCAGGTGAGCAGGACACACATGTACACATATGCAAACCCAAAGGTCTGATAAAGGCACAGTACCTGAGTTAATATCACAGAAGCACCAGAGAGACACCCAACTGCCTGGCAGGCTCCTGTCTGAGCCACCCAACCATTCAGCACGTTCAAACAACGTCTAAACAACAGCCAGTGAACCGTTTAGCCAGTACACGGCACAAAAATCAACCCCTGAGAGCAGGGAACCAACCAACCATTTAAGCGCGTGGCACACAGTGACGATCAATTAGCTACATTTAGATCCACTATCCCACACAGCTTTTTGAGACTTTCATAGTACATATTTACAAATAGCGGTTTAGACATACTTCTGACAAAGCTGGTTGAAAAGGATCTTGGGTGAGACGGGCCCTTTCCCAGGCTCCTTCATGCTTTGGAGGAACAGAAACATGGCTGAGGTGAGGGGTTCTGGGCTGGACAACGTCACAGTTAGTGGCCCCTACAAGAAAGCATAGTAAAGATGTCACATCTAACATACAAATGGTGAGGTTTTCTGTATATTTAAAAGCTAACATGAATGAGGTTATGAGAGAGACTGTTCTAGTCCAGTTCAGTTTAGTTGGAACATACCAAGTTAGTCTCAGCAGAGGGGCAGATCTTCATCTTATGACCTTTTTCCTTGACGTCTTGAATCAAGTCATTCAGCATGTGGGTCTGGGAGAGATTCTAAACCAAAACAAACAATGTAAAAAAGTTAGTCATCACACACTCGGCTTATATGTGTGTGTGTGTGTGTGTGCGCGCGCGCATTTTTTTTTATAAAGTACAGTTTTTATATTTATTATTTATTCTTTTTATTCATTTTAATACATCATAATTTTACATTTATTTAATACTGTATAGGCTATAGGTTATTACATTTTAAAAATCATATTAATATATTTTGAACACAGTGGTGTAGTTATTGTATCCAGTCTTCTATTTGTCTTCTGTTGGTTGTTGTTATCCAGAAAAGTGTGCTGTCATTATGGTTATGCTGTTTGAATTATTTTTTTGACTATATTTTTGAGTCTTATGCCTTTATTGAGAAAGGACACTGAAGAGTGAGATATGATGGGATCGAGAAACAGTCGCAGGTCACATGTGTGTACCCTGTGAGCACTCGGACGAGAATGCGATATGGACGTGGTGTGGCAGTAGTGATATTGCAAATGTTTACCATGTCTTGTCCAAAGAGGTGGACACACATGGACATTTTTTTTTCAGCAAAGGAAAATTACATTTGTTAAATACCAATGAATTGACTAAAGTGACATTTTTGTAAATAAGACATTTCAAAAACTGACTAATAACCTTTTCATTTCCATTAAAATTAAATAACTGAACCTAAATATAGGAGCCTGATAAAAAAAAAGCTAATTTAAAAGAAAAATGTAAGACAGACTTAGGATTTTTGCATATGAAGTCTGCAAATAGCCTATATATTTATATACACACCAATCAAAAGTTTGCGCTCAGTTAAACAATTAAACAAAATAATAGCAGGGATGCATTAAATTAATCAAAAACCATCCACAAAAACATTAAGGAACATTACTGTTTTATTAATATTAATATATTTATAGGATATGTGTTTTGAGCTCCAAATCAGAATAATATAATGATTTCTGAAGGATCATGTGACTATAAAACATTATATTTAGGATAACTTTTAATATTATCAAAGCAGCAGAACAGAATTGTACCAATTGATTTATCAATATTATTAAAAAACAAAAATTACAAACTTGACAAATATTTAAGATTTATTAATTTATTTATATTTTTTTTGTGTGTGTGTATCCTTTGGAAAAAAATGCTTCTGGTTACAGTGAAGTTTCTTACATGAGTTGTTTGACAAGAAAAATCTGAAGTGTCATTCAATGTATTGACTCTTATGTTGACCCAAAACGCAAGGGTCAAGTGTTTGCTCAAGGCCACAAGGGTGAAAGGGTCGTGTTTGCATTTGCAACACCTCCATATATCTGAATTGTATTTGAATTGATTTGTGTTAACAGCCTAGATCAGAAACCAACTGACTTAAACCATCCAAAGCACAAAAAACTGACACAAACAAAAGTTAAAAGTAAAGTGAGTAATGTGAGTTCTCAGACAAGACTTTACCTGCATCACAGCATTGAAGAAGCAGGTATTGCCCAGGTTGTTGATGCCCTTGACCGGGATAAGTGTGCTATTCACTGGACTCTTGCCTCTCTGAGTGTCCACATATTCAGCGGGTTCCTCTCTGAGCTTGATAATCTTTGAGGTTGTTGCTAAAAGACAGGACAGAAATTAAGTTGACAGATCTCTAGTCAACACACTAAATAGTAAAGTAGGTTTTCTAGTTTCAAAATTGGAGAGAGGCAGAAATGAAAACAGATCTAATGCTATATGAAGATAGGGGTTACGTTTCTCAAAAGCATTGCACGTCTACGTAGATCGCAGAACCACAAGCAGTTTGGCACCATAGTCACTAAGATCAACTTGGCTCACGATGCTTCTGAGAAACGCAGACCTGGACAGGGCCTGGTCTCAGAGTGCGCTTGATTTTCTGCCGCAGAAATGGGTTAACATTCTGGGTATCAGCTGGGAGAGGCTGCAGATGACAGCTGGATAAAAGTATGCTGGTTAGGGAGCAGGGAACAAGCACAGCTGCTCCCCGCCTCTACTGCCACGACTCTGCGGGAGCTTCTTGGCAAAGGCGGCTAAACACAAGGCCCGCAGAGAGAGAAAGATAGAGTTTTTCTACACAAAAAAGCAAAACTCCAGAGAAATGACGGGTGCACTGCCCTAAACACTCAGGAGACATGAAAGCAACCAGCATGATAATTCAGAGCGAGCAGTCGGTCCTGTAAATAGCTCTCAGTCCCCCAGAAGACTGCCTATGGCTTTCAACGATTAAGGATACATAAAATGATGCAATTTATTTAATCAATGATTTCTAACAATGGCTACTTCTTTGAGCAAAAATGCATTAAACGAAAAAAAAAAAAAAAAGAACCAAGTTAAAGTGGAACTATATTGTGTTCTAAGACCTATTAAATTCAAATGACAATACTATACACAATTCAATGACAAGGTCATAAAAAATATTAAATTATTGAGCAACAACTTTCATTTATTATACTTATATATTTATTCAATATTTTTTGTTCTGCATTGTGTACCATCTTTGATCATCTAATAAATAGGCTATATATTGCACAAAGTAATTTATTTAAATACTAAAACAAAATAATATCAATGTTATTTAAAAGAAGTCTAAAATTTGTGAATCTGGTGAGCAAATAAATAGTGGATATCCTGTACCCAATGACAAGCAAAATAGATGGTGAAAATTGCCATAAAATAATGAAAATTCAGAATATAATATTATATGATTGAAAATGAGACAACTTTATCATGGATCTTTGGAGGTAAGGAATAAATCTCAAAGATGGACCGTGGTGAAATAGGGTAGACGTATAATTGACTCCCATTTTTCAATAATGAACATTATGAAGCACACCCCTTAATTTAGCCTTTATGAGATAACATTACATTTATGAGATAACTTTCATTGATGCATTGATCACATTGTGGCACTGCCACAACTAAATACTATTTACACTCTTTTGAACTATTATTTATGCAAAAGCAAGAGCCAATTAAGGAAAATAAAAGTACTTATTTTATGACCAGCTCAATATTATATTTGCATTTCAGGAGTCCTCATAAATATTGATATATATTTAAATATTTACATTCTATTTTCCCATTAAATAAACATCAAAATGAGTAATACATTCATAAAATGAAAAAAATATATAATATTAAAAATATGGCAAAATGGGTAGCAGGGTTTCAAGTAACCGATTAAAAATTCAGACCAAATTGAACTATCAGTAGTTTGGGACCAAATGTTGTTTTGTAGTTATTGATCAAATTATATTTGCAAATTAATTAATTTCTTTCGTTGTACATCTAAGGCTGCAAATAAATAAATAAATAAATATGCATCATCTTCATGTAATGTGACCCAAATAACTTCAAAATGACCTGAAGTAATTCATATCATATAGATGAGTGCAGGTTTTGTACATATCTACAGCTTGTTTGTCCCTCAAGTGGAATAATATGGCTTACTCTCTTGTCTCCCAATTGGTTTATTCTTGCATGAATGATTTCAGTTAAGAAAATTGGATAAAATTAGCAGTTTATGTACGCAAGAGGTTTATAGTGTGCATTGATTTCCCCCTACCTCTTTAACACTACCTCCTGTTAGAAAAATACACCCACTGACAGGCTGTGAACAGCATGCAATATGATGTATTTGAGGTCATATTTTTGGACAAACTACACAAAACCAAAGCACTTATAAAAACGTTCCTTTGCATTCTCGTACATCCAAGAGAATGCGTGTTATTATTACACTATTGGCTGTGTAGATGGGGAGATGTTAGCATGTCTGGCGAGATCAACTCAAGACCTGTCCTTGACGAATCTCTGCTTGGACAATACCAGGGGTCTGAATCAGATGAATTTAAAAACTGCTCAAGGCTACAATATATGCTCTTAACCCTTCAAATTTGGCCAAGCATATGATGGGGTGGAAAAAATTATTTCTGACAACAGGAGTGCGACTAAATATCTTGCGTTTCAGCTAACATTGCGGTGTCCACAGGTTCATTTTGTTTAGTCCCCCGTCCTGAATCCATATTGTCACACAGTCACATCTGAGGGAAAGTCCAAGGACAACCCATGTTCTCCAATTCAGGAAGTAAATTGGTTTTCCTTTGTGCAATAATGCTCTCCGGAGCTGCCCCAAATGTTATGCAGATCCACACACAATTATTGTACAAACTGCCCCAGTATTAAGCCCTGTTAAGGAAAAATCCATTAAAATCTGAAGTGGGCAGCTTCTGTGCCCTCATGATTTTCTCACAGGGGTTAATCAGGCATCAAAACAATAGACTGGAGTGCTGCTATTCCTAAGTGGGGCCAAAAGCATCTGGAGCACTACACAAAAACATCTGGAAGTTTGTCTGTGTCCAAACAGCCATTTGAGGGGGAGCCCATATGTCCATGAACACTGTGGTGCAAACAAGTGTTGACTACGGGGACACACAGCGCATACAATGTACAACGAGTGAAAGTCAAAAAAAGGTACTTTTTGCGTTTCGTCGGTCTCATTTTTTTAGTGCACCAGGAGAATAAATGGTGCAATGTGGGAATGTCTATGGAGTTGCATCACATCTGGGTGCGCTGATCAAGGTAAACAATGTTCAGAAAGCCATCTGCCAATGTGGCAGTGAAGGAGATACATAGAGGGGACTGGGGGGAGGGGGGTGGGGGGTGCAGTGCCCTGAACAGGCATATGGAAAAACAGATTTTTCCTCTCCCTGCAGCAGTTAGCAAAGGCAAATGTCAGCATGCACCACGGCCACGCTTGACTGTCCCGAACTCGGCACCACCACCTGGCTCTCCTTGCTCAGCCACCGAATATGGGCAGGAGTGACACTGTGGAGCATGTCCCCAGGGCAGCCTAAACGATCAGCAATCCACTCCCCACTCAGTTCTCTCCAAAATGCACAAGCGCCAATATGAGCTGTATGTGGTTTCCTGATAACTGTATTAAAAGAAGATCTAAGAGCTTTCAGGCTAAACAAGAGCTGTGAAATTCTTTCATTATTCGCCCTCACAATAAAGGTATTTAGCAGAATGTCTAAGCTGTTATATTCTATACAATGAAAGCTAACAGTGACCACAGATGGTCTCCATCTACATTCACTGTATAAAAAAGGTTGTATAGAACACAGTTTGCAGCAGTGTTATTTTAGCATTATTTATATGCGATTATTGTATTCGTTAATGTTTTGAATCAGCTTTTATTTTTAGATTTTCAGTTTACAGTTTAATTTCAAGTTTAAGTACTTCAGTGTGCTTTTGTCATTTTTATTAGCTTTTTTTCTATTGAGCTTTAATTCTTTATTTCAGTTTTAGCCATTTTCATACAGGTTCAACTTAAACTAGGTAAGTTTCAAAAGTTTTTTCCCCAGTTTTTTTGTGCCGGTCAAAAGTTTGGAAACATTAAGGTTTTGTAATGTTTTTGAAAGTAGTTTCTTAATCTCATCAAGGCTGCATTTATTTGAAATCAAAAATACAGTAAAAAGAGTATTACTATGAAAAATTATTCATTTAAATCAACTGGTTTCTGTTGTAATACATTTTAAAATGCAATTTATTCATGTGATATTAAAGCTGAATTTTCAGCAGTCATGACTCCATTCTTCAGTGTTAATATATATATATATATATATATATATATATATATATATATATATTATTTTAGTACAGCTTAATTTTATGATACAATAACAATACAATAACACTGGCAACACTGCTAAACATGGGGAAAAAGTCTCTTATATCGTCCTATACCCTATTTGGTAAGACATTCTGTTAAATATAATTTTTGTGTGTGTTTCATGTGTGTTTGTGTCAGTTTGGAATGATAAGAGGATGAAATGACATTTTCATTTCAGGTGACACTATCACACTGAAATAATTCACATTTTATAGCTGCTTTTTGCATAACTCCAAAAATTCATAAAGCATGAAAAAGCATTGAAAACAAAAGTGTCACAAAAGTAACAAGTGTTTGTGCATTGCAGCAGAGACCTTTCCGGGAAGAGTTAAGCACAGATTTATAGAAGTTAATGCACTGAACATGTACACTATTTAAAATCTTCCCTTGTTTCTCATAAAGTGAAGGACAACTTTCCTCAGGCTGAAGACAGCAAGCAGTCATGAGGAAGGCCGAGCAACACCAAATGCCTTATTAATTTGTTAATTTGTTGTGGCCATGGGGCATGAAAACCGTGCTTCATTGCCATCCTGAGGCCAAGGGTATCCAACGTCTTGATTCCTTCATACACACACACACACTTAGTGCTGTTCGTGTTGGTCCTGGATTGACCTAAATAGAAAAGCATTCTCCCACCCGAGGCTAACCATCGTCGGTAATCAACAAGACCTAGCTGTAAAACCATGTTTAAATACCATCCAAGTGTATGTCAAATAAAGCTAATTTGAGATTCGAAAATACAGTGAACCAATAAAGAAAAATTATAGAGTTGTGAAGGGACTACATCAATACCCTGAAAACCCAAAAGAACAAAGATTTTCTTTGGGGTTTTATAATGGGGTTTTTCAATTTATGAGAAAAATAGAGCATCAAAAATTTTGGTATGGGTGTGTGTAATTTAAGTTGTAGAACAAAACATCAAAATATCGTCAAGTTATGTTTACAACACGTTTTATTTTACTCATAAATTGAAAAACTCCATAATAAAACCCAAAAGAAAATCTCAAAAGAACCACTGGCAAATTAGTCTTCTGAATTCTGACGTCCTCCCTGCACCACTCGATTTAGGAGACATTTAGTAGATTTGGAAGTAATGCACTGGTGTTCAAAATGTTGGCTAATACCAATAAGATGATAATTATTTATTATGCTATGATCGAAAAGATAAAAATTCAAAACTATTTTGTCCATATAAAGTAAATGAAAAATAAAACTACGAATTTTTTTTTTTACATTTGAAAATAAATAAATAAGTTAATTTGGACATAACAATTGTAATGTACAGTATAAAAAAATGGATATTCAATTAGTCTGGGATGAGCTAAGGCTAAAATTTAACAGTGTTATTATTTACATTAGTGCTTTTTAAAAAAAAAATGTTTACGGCACTGCAAAAGTAATCTAAAATATGGGAAAAAATTATGCACAAAATTATGCACAATTAAATCTTAAATATGACAGATAATTTAAAAAAAAACTGCCAATAAACAATATGGTACTGATATATTGTGCATCTCTTCTTCAAAATGCTACTTTCCAAGTGCTCAAGTTCTCTGTGTTAATTTTAATATTATCAACTCACTCAGAATTATCATGCAATTGTTCACAACTGTGTTTAAAATAAAAACCCGAAATGTAAAGCGAAATAGGTTTGAATCCTCACCTCATGAAATATGAAATTAGATTGAAAATCAGTATGAGAAAATAAAGATTCAACTGCTGCATGTGCCAGCTTGTGATGCCTATTGAAGCAAAAACATTTTAATTTCCTCAAACAATGGCTTCCCAGCTGTGTTTCAAGCACAAGCCTGGCTCTCTGAGGTCAAGTCTCTTTCTACCAAGACTCTGGTACTTGAGCTGAAGGCCTTTTTGGTGAGAGAGCGCAGTTAATAGATTTTCTTTCTTCTCCCTGCTGTTGTTGTGGAAAACTATTATGGATTCTGGACAATTCTTGCTGGGGCTCTTTTGTGCGAAAAAGCGAACACAACAACAAGCTCTGTCTAAAAAACCATGGCCTTCAAATATTGCAGAAATGCAATTTCACCAGCTCCTCTATGCCAGTGCCAGTCCATTTCACAGCCACAATGGCCGCCTGTTTCTTCCTCATTTAGTCAGCCCGCCTGGAACAATGAGCATGGAAGAATGGCAACAGGTAATTTAAAGAGCTGGGTAAGAAGGATGTGGGCAGGAGGTGCCCCAACTCTGGCCCAAAACCACAGACCACCACCAGCTACCTTCTGGACCTCACCAGAAAAAAAAAAGAAAAAAAACAACACCTAGTGGGCAACTGTTTTCCCTTTTCTGTCTTCAGATTTCAGTCTCTGAGAGTTTATCAGGCTTGACTGGAAAGAGATTATAAAAAATGATCATCTGACGAACATCAGAATGTTTGAGTTAAGTCAATGCTATGGTGCAAAGATAAGCGAGTCTGTCTGGAATGGAAAGGTTTACCACTACAAGAAAGAATCAATATTTGTTCCCAAAATTAGTTGTCTGTTCACATGTTTGGAATAAATACAGCTATTCCATAAGGAAAAAAGCTAATTCTCTCACAACACCCATCACCTTTCAACAGCTGAGAAAGCTCTATATACAAAACGAGCTCCCCTCCTGAAGAAAACGAGACCCTCTCCCAGAAGCTCGGAGTGAGCAAAGAGGGATCATGGGAGATGTGGCTGGGCAGGGGGAGGAGCAGAGCTCAGGATCCCATTCCCACACAGCTGCAGCCGTTCTTCAGGGAATCCGACCGGGGAGCACCACTCGAGCGCCTAATGCCATTAATGAGCACAGCCATGCGGCAGTAACGGAATTGGAGCGCAGCTTCTCCAGCAAGAGCCTGGCTGCCCTTGGAGTGGCAGGAGACCAGTCAGGCTGGGTTTAACTGAACTTCACTTTGATACACCAGATCATGAGTCCACGGACAGGGATGGAAATGGATTCAATGACTGTTAAGCATCATGCAAGGACAAGGTGGTAGCATATTTCAATGCTACGTGAAATTGTACACTAGCTTTTGCTCATCACTGAAAAGAGAAATGAGCATTTTAACAGACACTGTGCCTCAGTTGGAGGCGTCTAATCTTACATACCAGAGAAAAAAAATGGCTTTTGTGGCACATACTTGAATTTGAATAAATAATAATAATATAAAAACAACAGACAATGTATTTGAAGTTGTTTCTTTGTAATAATGAAGAAACACAATTACATGATCATTATAACTCTGTTATGCTGGTCCTCATTATTTCAGCCAGGCTTTACAATATTAATGAATTACATGGGTGAATCTCCTGAAACTTGCAAGAACACTTTCCCAAATTCACTAAATAAAAACAAAAAACAACAGGGAAAAAATTTGCCTTAAGAAAATTATGCCTACATACATCTTTAACCATTCAAAAGTTTGGTTGGCAAGTCACTTATGCTCACTTGACTAAACATATAGTAAATTATCAGCAAAAGTTTTTTTAAAAAGTGAACTAATACTTTTTAATGCATCCTTGCTGAATAGAAGTATTAGTTTCCTTAAAAAAAATAATAAAAAAAAAAACGGACCAAAATCGGACCCCAAATTTCTGAACAGTATGAATGAACATTGTGACATGATGTTTATGACAATTAAGCACTTTGTTATGAGAATGTCAGAGGAGGGGAATACTGAAAAATAGCTTAATTTTCTTCATTAGAAATAGAAATGTAATTTATTTATTTATAATTATGTTTTTCTTCTGATTCTGAGGTTACCCACAAGTTCTTAAAAGATTCATTAAAAAAATGAATGCCAATCGGATGACATCAAAATGTACATACAGTAAACTTTGTTATGGAGATGATCATGACATGTGCATGAACCTGATTAAGTCAAGATTAACAGGTGGAAATCCTAAATATTCAGAGGAGGACTTCTACTGTGCTTTGTGGTTATAAATAAGCAACGGGTTTTAAAATACTACAATATGCATTCCCGGAAGTTGTGTATACTCTTATTACAAGGACAGTTCAACTCAAGCAACCTGGGGTTAAGCCTCCTGCTCAAAGGGGTAATGGTGAGTTCATGAATCCTTCCAACAGATTAAAAACAAAAGTGTAGCAGAGTAACTTTATCATAGATCCAAAGCATCACTGCTGCTGGAGCTCTAGGTGGAGCCATGGAGCTGCTCAACGACAGAAAGCAGTCAGCTAATTACAGCTTAGTGACACAAAGTTTAATATTATCACCTATAAGAGATAAATCAATGCTAAAATGAGGGTCAATGTAGTTTGCCTTTAAGCAGTTTTAAGTCTTTGCAGTTTCTGTACAGTACCCTTCTGCCAAAAGATGCACTTCTTTCTTACAATTATTAGCATAACATTTAATTTAATAGCAAATTAATTAATCAATATTATCATAAATATTCTAAAATAAATTATAACCGGCCAAAGTAATTGTGAAACCCTGCTCTGGAGCAATTAGCACCACTTTTGCATGGTTAACCCCATGTTGCTGTGCTAAAATTGTACAGTAAGAAGTTATTAGAAATTGAACATATTACAATTATACTGAAACACTGTGTACTGTAATCTAATAAGTTAGACTAGTCATTATTTAAATTGGTTATACGCTGTATGTATCCAATCATGGTTCCTGGCATCACACCACAAATGTCCAAATAAAATTGTTAACTCAGGGCTTAGGAATGTACAGTGTGAAATAAGAATGAGCAGATTGAAACGTGAGACAAATTATCCAAGGATTCTATGTAGAATGGGGTTTAGAATGCCCTTAACTCTTTAACCTGTGAAAAGCTTCATATTGTAAAAAAAACCTGAATTTACATAAATATAGGAGAGGACACTCAAAAAACAGCAGAGTGTGTACGTCTCTGCATTGTATTGTATCTGGTAAACTAAAACGAGTGATCCCAGGGCAAAGGTCAGTGATGACAGTTATGTGTACAGAGAAACAATGAGGAGCTTCTAAAAGAGCCATTTGAAAGAAACCCCAGCTCTTGTTTGAGCTCCAAAAACAAGGCAATTATCAGGTTTAAATCTGTAAATAAGAGTCCGCTTCCATCAAAGATGAATCTTAACAACAGTGTAATGACTGTCACTAATAATAGCAAATGAAAAAATAAGTGTTTTCCTATAATTAAAGATAAAGTCACACTTCTGCGTGTTTTTCTGTGGAATAACTACCTGAGGCGGCCTTTGCTGAGTGCTTCTGCAGGAAGTCCAGAGTCTGAGCCAGGGCTTTCTTATTGCAGTGAGTGGAGAGCTCTTCCTTACATTCAAAGCACCTGTTAAAAGTGAGCAAAACTAATATCAAAATGCAATTTATTATGCATTTTATGTCTAATACAAAAGAGCGTAGATGTCTTTGAAAGCTGTGTTTATTATTTGACCAAAAATACAGTAAAACATTAATATAATAAAATATTATCATTTTTCATATATATTTCAATATTATAAATGAATTGTTTTGTATTTTAATACATTGTTTTGTCATTTATTCCTGCGATATCATGCTGAGTTTTCAGCAGCCATTACTCCAGTATCATACGATTCTTCAGAAATCATTCAAATTTGCAAATAACTTTTTTTCTTTGATTAATAGAAAGTTCAAAATAATTGCATTTTTTTAAATAAAATAAATCCTCACATGTAAATATTAAAATTAAATGCATCCTTAATAATTTCTTTAAAAAAAACTTACCGACACCAAACTTTTGTGTATATGGATAAATGATAAAATAATCATGCAATACAGCATAATCAGTTGACGTTTCCTACCAGGCCTTCCATGTACTGAGGCTGATGGTGATACAGTGAGAGTCAGAGCGATGAGCTTGCTGATGTTTTGTGGAATGCTGAGTTTCTGCCTGGTTACAGCCCTGGAAGAGAGAGCAACAATAGCAAGGTTTGAAGGTTGGCATATATTTTAAGAACAAGTCAAGTTTTGGTGAATGAATGAATGAATGAATGAATGAATAATTTATTTCTTTTCATTTCCTTTTCCTCTTCAGAACATGGTCATTGATAACAGAGCATATTTAAACAAAAAATAATAAAAACAAAATCTCAGCACGTTCAAAAGAGAAGAAAAAAGAATATAGAAAAAAAAAGGAGAAGGAAGAAGCTAACTTATGTTTTCCTTCAATGAATTTATCCTTTTTGGTCAATATGTTTTTTCCCACAGTCAAATTAAAGTCTCTACCAGCTTAAATGATCCATTCAAATACTGTGAGTAAAAGGCAAAACAAAACAGTAGGGTAACGCAATCTACTTTCAAAAATGCTGTGCGACCAGGATAATAATATGAGCTTTTAAGCGTATGCCTAATAAAAATGTATTTCCCCTTGGTTTTGACACTTGCAGTACCAAACAACCACTGCTGCCATTTTTATCACTCTTTTTTTTTTTTTTTTTTTTACAAAACTAACGTTTAAAAGTTTTGGGTCAAACTTTTCAAACTTTTCTTCAAGAAAGAAAATTGATCTAAAGTGACAGTAAAGACTTTTGCATTGTTCCAAAAAATATATATTTCAAATAAATGCGCCTTGGTGAGTGTAGGATACTTTTTTTTAAAATCATACTGACCCCAAACTTTTAGACAACATATTCAAAAAATGCCTTAAAAAAACATAAATGCTTAAAATGACTGTGTTTTTTAAAGTTTTGACCGTTAAAGTTTCTAATATTTGTGAAATATTAATATGCCGTAAACAATCGGACACTACGCACTGACAGAACTGCGTAGATTGTAGCACAATATATTAGGCTACGTTCACACTGCAGGGCTTAATGCTCAATTCCGATTTTTTGAAAAAATTAGATTTTTTTGCAAGGCCGTTCACATTTCCAAATAAATGCGACCTTTTGTGATCTCTTGTGTGAACGTGAAATGACCCAGAAGTGACCCGCATGCGCAGAAGAGTAATCAACGGTCAACGACGTCATTTGTTGTTTGCGGAATAGTTATTTTTTTTTCACATTTGCACATAAATGTAAGATTTTTCCGATCCTCAACGACCTCGTCATAAAACCCGTTTAATTGATAGTGCGTGTCCGCGGCACTCCTTGCTTTGTCACCGGCGGCCGCGCTGCGACACTGGTGGCTGGTGTTGCCAGATTGGGTTTTTATTCGCTACATTTTAAGGCATGTTTACATGTGTTTTAGCCAGGTTTTCGCCTGGAAGGTTCTATAGAAATCTGGCACCCTACTGTACAAAGTTATACTGACAGAGAGCGCACGTTCACAGACACCAGAATGAACGTGTTCACAGTAATGTTCATCAGGCAGTAATACAGTACGTTTATTTTGTACTATATATGAACGCGAAATATGAACGCGTTCATGCACTATCCATGCACAGCCACAACACTGGGGAAGAGACACGTCTGCAGCGGCCCATAACAGTGAGGAAACGCATTGGAGTTAGCGTGTATTGGCTGGCTACAGGTGCGTGCAATGACGTGCGGGTCGAATATATGTGACCTGGCCGTTCAGATTGAAGTCGCATTTCAAAAGATCGGATACATATCGGATTTAGACCACATACCCAAGTGGCCTGGGTCGCATTTGAAAAGATCGGATCTGTGTCGTTCAGACTGTCATGAAAAAATCAGATACAGGTCACATAGGGGCAAAAAAATCGGAATTAGGTCGTTTCAGCCTGCAGTGTGAACGTAGCCTTAGTGTTTCAGAGTGAGATGATCTCACCTGGAACCCGCACTTGAGGCACACAAGGATGGCATGTACTCCTGCTGCTTCTCCCTCAAGCACATTCCTCTCCTTAAGACAATCGGAGCACACAGACCACATGCTGCCCGTCACTGCCTTCTTCACTGAGCTGAGGTCCACAGCCCTGCTCACATGCTGACACGTCAACCCTAGATGTCACAAGAACATACATCTTTACTGAAGAGTTTACAACTCTATACAAGCTTTGTTAAATCCACAATCTGAATTGGAATGATTAGCAACTGAATGGATGATAGACCCTTAATGTCTGATAAATGCTTTGTATGCTTCTCTGTGGTTTTGCAAAGCACATCAATGATCAATGTACAGGCATGAAAAATTACATCATAACCTTTCCTTACCGCCAACCTCGTCAGAAGAGTCTTCATCACGAGGCTTCTTTGGCTTGTTAGACCGCTTGGTCATGTCTGCGGTTTTTAAAGAGAAGGGGTCTTTCAACCGCATTTGTATCTGGGGGGGAAAAAATCACTAAGTATGAGAACCAACAGCACAGTTAAAATTGTGTTTCTGAAGCCTAACATTATCAAATAACACATACACATGAGGGCCTCAGCACACTTCCGAGGTAGGCACAAAATGACAAAATTATTTTAAAAACTTATATTAAAATAATCCATTGTAACTAAAGTTATTTCAAAGAGTTAAACTATTTATATTAAATTGCGTATCAAAATTAAAAGAATCCATTGTAACTAAAAATGCTTAAGAACATTTGTAAAAAATATTTGAATAGTTTAATGTAACTAAAGCCTAAACAACTTTTTTTAAGTAATTATAATAAAACAACCTAAAGCAACTAAAAGCCTATAAACTGCTCAAATAAAGAGGCACAACATTTAAACTGATATTATATTTCTTCTTAGTCTGAGTGTTCCCCACTACACTGTGTGTTTTCAGTGAAGAACAAGGTTCTGGAAAGCTCTGGAATTAACGTGATCTGTCTATTATCTTCAGTCCTGCGAACTTTTCCTTTCCATCTCAAATATCTCAGTGGGAAAACAATACAGTAGCAGACTACCCAATCTATCTGAACTCATGAATAACGTTACTGTAAGATGACAGCAATTGAATACGCTTTACATTTCAGTAGTTTAACCATGACGAATCGGTAAGTGAGGATAATAAATCAATACGATATAATTAGTTATTAGCAAACCACTGTAGAAAAGCAAATAAGAGCACGACACCTGAGACTTGCCCAGGTAACTGATACAAGTACTGACAGCAGATACCGGCTAGTTAAAGGCCTTTGCTTCTCTAGTATTAAGTAAGATATGTTTATGACACAAAGTTAAGAGTAGCTACAACAGTAAAAGGTCGTTGGCTTATAGTAATAAACCCAACTCACCCTGTTTATGTTCCCTCCTCTCTAGGTTCGCAACCAAGTGAACGTCAGTTGACAAGTGGCCAGGTGGAAGAGCGGGGCTAATAACTTGCATATGCTTCCAAGTTTATAAATACGGAAGAATTCCTGTCGGTAGTTTGTTGTTCGGATCTAAAACTTCGACAGTAAGGAATTGAGCAATCCCGAGACAGTTTGTGTTTTGATTTATAGAGTTTGTCAGCGTATTTTGTGGCATTTGGGGAAGAACAACAGAAAGCACAAGTATCACATATGTCACGTGGTCACACCCCTCAAACGCGCTACGGATCCTTGTAGGGTCAAACTCGTTTGGGCTCAGACGAAAAAGTACTGTTGTGTTTTGTAAAATTGTAAACTCAAATGCGATCATTTTAATTAAAGTTTGGCCTATATATTATCAACAATGTTCAAATGTAAATTGAACCACACTTCTACATTAAACAAATGTTTTCATTTTCAAGCACTAATAATATTTACCGGATGCCCACTTTCTCTACTGAGATTTGTTTATAATTAGTTTAATATCGGACGTGTCAGAGCAAACGTAAATTATGCATAACATAACCACTGACATAACATAACCACTTCGGATTCTGTTAAATAATCATTCAATAAATAATAATTCACTTGCATTATCCAAAAAAAAAAAGAAAATAAATACAAATAAAAAATATATAGGAAAAGATAAAATATGACAAACATGCAAATAAAAAAGTAAAGGGGAAAAATAGATCTATATTTGTGGCAAAAAACGAGTAGTATACGTCACCAATAATGCGTAATAGTTGTGCGCATGCGTACAGGGGTAGTTTTTAGCTGCAATTCTGCAACGTAGCGTAACTTGCGTCCCACATTGTTTTCGTCGATATTTAGACACAAAACAAGAAAAAAAGTAATATCGTCATCTTGCAGCTTTCCTTACTCTAAATTCTATCATGGCGTTAAATGTCTGTTCACGGCTGTCGAGAAGTTTTGTCCGCGTTGTAGCGAGCAGAAGTGTCATTCGACCACTGACGAGTTCATGCTGGACACATTTACGTTGCATACAGCGTGAGTGTTTACATATTGCATTGTGTAAATGAAATACATCGTGATTGAAATCTATAGCAGCTAGATCTGGAAAATCACTGCCAATCTTGCATTCTTTACAGCTTTAACATATGTGATTTCTAACTTACCTCTGCGATTTTTGAAAAAGTTTGGGCTGTAATAAGTAGGCTACTTAAAAAACAAGCTTGTACAATTTGTTCTAAAAGGTGACAACTAGCAAAAGAACGGCCTCTGTCGGTCAAGTGTGTGTGAGAGTGTGTGTCTGTTTTCTTTCAGATATCCGCGTCATTCGTTATGATGGTGCTTCTTCGTTACTAAATTTCAGCACTTCTAGCCAGCCTTCAATAGATGTGTCATATGAGCAGCTGAAGAAACTGCTGGTGTCCCAATCCGGATTGGTTATAGACGTCCGTGAGCCGTGGGAACTCAGAGAATACGGGAGCATACAGGGGTCTATTAACGTTCCACGTAAGTCAGTGATTGTCCTCATCCACGTAGCCTACTGTATATGTAAAGTCGCATTATATACATTTACTGTACCCTCTCATCTGCAGTGGGACAGTTGAATGGAGCTCTTCAGCTCAAACCTGATGAATTCAAGGAAAAATACAGAGGGGAAATGCCATCACAATCCCAAAATATAGTGTTCACCTGCCTAGCTGGTGTAAGAAGCAAAACTGCCCTGGAAACTGCAGTGTCATTAGGATACACCAAGTGAGCAATTATGCTTATTATAAACCTATTATAGTGCTTGGTTTCTTTGCCACTTTTTACACAGCTTGAGAAAATTTGAAAAGCATGACTTCTTGGGACTATTATATTTTCAGTCCAGAACTCGCTGAAAATGACTCTAAATGTAGCATTTACAGCATCTGTTATACAGTACCTCATGGCAGAAGTTCAAATGAGGAGTCACCATAGTATTTGATTTGAAAGTATATTTGGTCAAGATAAAATATATCAAAATAAGTATTATTAAAAAATGCAATATTAAGCTATGTTCAACCAAAGCTAAAGTTAATCAATTTGTTTCATTATCCCTCCTATATTAAAATGCTATGGTTACATTAATTTGTCAATAATAAAACATCAATAATGATTATTTTAATGCAGGGGTGCCTACAATGTTTTTCTATGATGGGCCAAAAATGATACTTGATTGTTGCATTTTAAATTAAATGTTGCATTTTATTTTATATGAAGATACATGTTTTTACTTTTAAATACAAAAAAAGGTCAAACAAAAATATACATCAAAAATGAAGATATGCTTCAATGGCATGTTTATGTCCTATTTTTCTCCTCCTGATATGGCATGGCAGGCCAAATCAAAAGTCATCACAGAACAAATTTGGTTTAGCCACCTCTATTGTAATGTTTTTTCATTGTTATTCTTATTACAAGTATTTAAATACATCAAAGGCGTACAATGTGTCTTGTGGAAGAACATTGTAGCCGGAGTACTGAGTGTCTAACTTAGTCTGAAAAACACTTCTTAGGCATACCATAGTGATTCAAAATAAGACAAAAACACAGTTTAGAAGATGGATTCATGATGTACTTGCTGCTCATTATATACATTTGATCTAATTGATCTTTCTCTTCCGGTAGGGTTCAGCATTTTCCAGGCGGATGGCAAGAATGGGCAGAACGTGAATTAATACAAACCAAAAAGTGATTGTCCCATTGTAGTCATGTTAACATTGTGAAAGAAGTTTGACTTGTACTGCAATCTCCGAGTCAAAATGTGCCACTAAGACTGTGTAATTTACTGCTATTGACTGGAAGTAAAGGAAAAGTGTGATTACATTATAAACCAAGATGCACTATAGTAAAGTATATTGGGATCAATGCACATTATACTCTGATATTTCATTTGACATATAGCCTACTGTAGTATAGTTGGGAGGGGAAGTGCAGTGACCTGCAGTGTTTATGGTACAATTTCTGTTCTAAGGGCTGTCAGCTATTTGCCTAATATGTAAACCTAAATATTTTGAGCAGGCAATCCAAATATCAGGGCAAAAACATTTATCCATTGATTTTTGTTCAGTTTGCATATAAAGAGGAGTGTTGTAATATTGAAAGTTAAACTTTAATGTTACATTGTGTGTATTGTGCTTATTAAGTTTAAACAAACTCCTAACCTTAAGTATTAAAATTTAGGGTGTAACTCATCCTTCATTTGAATATCATCATATACAGGATAGAATTGCCTGCATTTTCTTCACCAAATATAAAAATGTGATGTAAACATAATTCATGTAATTTAGTGAGGTAAAACTACCAAGAAACACTTTAATTGCTGGTTTATGTGCAATATAGGCCTATATTTATTTAGAAAGAAATAACCCTTTTATGCAGCAAGGCAGATCAAAAAATACAGTTAATTCATTCAGTATGTTACAAAAGATTTCTCGAAATAAATGCTGTTCTTTTGAGCTTTCTATTCATCAAAGAATCTGGAAAACATCGGATCACGGTTTTAACAAAGATATTAAGCAGCACAACCATTTTAACAATATTAATAAATGTTTTTTTGAGCAGCAAATCAGAATATTGAATGATTTCTGAAGGCTCATGTGACACTGAAGATGAGTAATGCTGAAAATTCTGGTTTTTTTAAAAAAAAATATATGAAAATGGATATTTTTGAACTGTAATATTATTTCACAATGTTGCTGTTTTACTACTTTTAACCAAATAAATGCAGTGAGCATGAGACCTCTTTCAAAAACATTAAACCTTACCGAAACTTTTTCAACAATTACAAGAAAACCCTTTTCAGCCATACATAATCTGACTGGCACTTTATAAGACTTAGTTATTGTCCTATACAAGTTGCAATGTCATCTGTGATTTACGAAAACAGCTATTTTACTGACATTTTATAATAATATCAGAATTTCTTACACACTATGTGTTTTTGAGCCATAAGTATGTGCCCGATTATAAGAATTATGTGTACCAATGCCATTAATGTGGATGTGATAAAGCTGTTTTCACCAATAAATCTGAAAACAAAAAAAATATAACTAAGCACAAATGGACAAAGATAATGGTGCCTTATTATTGCCTGTAAAGAGGCTAGCCTATTGTCTTTATCAATGGTGTCATTGTTTGTTTTTTTTCTGTATATGAGCACTGCTAAAGGAATGACTAATGTAGTGTAATTGAATGAGATAGCAGGAGTAAAATAACGCCTGAGTGATTCAGCTCATTTAGCCACTGTTCACATCTCAGAGAGATGCAGACCCAGCCTTCCTCCCACATGGCTGGCAAATCTTAGATCATTGGAAAGAATCTCATAAACCACATTCTGTCAGCACAAAAATGGCAGCATGTGTAATGAAGAAAACAATACAGCATAAATTGGCTTATACTCTATCTGCACCTTTTTAAGGGAAAATAATTATTTTAGGTTCTTTAGATATGAATAAATAGACTGTGACGACTTCACTTAAATCCTTTAGTCATCTCAAGCGTGAATCTCAGACAAGTCATAGAAAAACACTGGGGTTCGTTTCTCTTCGCATTTCTCATTTTTACACATACTTCCATTTAAGTGACCAGATTAATGTCATCTCTCACATATCAGGATCCCCTTGCACAAATTGACCCCATGACACTATTTCTTGCTCTGTATAGAAGCATGTGTAATTAAAATCCCTACATATCAAAGCACATCAACATCACGACTGCCTCTTAATTGAACCCTCCATTCAACACCTCTCAAGACCCTGACAGATGTTTGAGTGACGGGCCCATTTCTTGATGGTGCAGAGGCTCAACATTCCCAAAGCACTGACTCATGTTTATAGCGGAGTATAAAATGCCTGGGACCTCTGGGAGTGTGGATTTGAGAACAGAGCTTGCAAAAGGAAGATCAACAAAGTGAGGCCTTAAAGTTTAGCCACTGATCAATGATGAGTCGCAGCCCAGAAAGGATATCATCATATCGCCGGCATTTCGAGGACACCAGCACCTCCTCTTACCAGGTGAGGGTCAGCAGCCCTTCTCCCGTCAGACGGGATGTGGGGAGGTGCCGTTCAGCCAGCTACTCCCGTAATGCCACCGCTGTGAGAAACAGTATGGAAGTGGGACGGAGGACCATCTCATCCTCACGCAGCCAGCCCCTCATGACTGGGTAAGCATCGCACAAGAAGCAAAGGAACAATACTGAACATCATCATATGCATTGTTTTTTATTGTTATTTATTTTCTTACTTATATTTTGTCTTATAATAATGATGATTTATACAGATTATATAGGCTATGAGTTAGTTAATAATACACAACTAACATAAAAACTGGTTGCTTATGTGGCTTTTCGAGTTTATTTAATTAGTACCTCCAGCAAACGGGGCGTCCCCTGGACGTTGCGAAGAGAAATGGTTTTTTTTTTTTTTTTTTTTTTTTTAAGAGCGTTTGCTCATCTGCAAGACGTCTATAGGACGTTCCCTGTCGGATGTCAAATAGACGTTTATAAGATGTCAGTTTAACTTGCATTCTAAATCATTACATCTTAGAGACATCTTCTAAATGTCTATTTGACATCTGACAGGGAACGTCCTATAGACGTCTTGCAGATGAGCAAACGCTCTTAAAAATACACCTTCCAGATATAAATAGCCAACGTATTCTCACCCCAAAGGCGTCACCTTTGACCATGCTTCAATATTTGACGCTTTAGGCGCCCTTTAGCGTCAGTTACATGACACGATCCTACAGCGTCATCTTACTGACGCTAAAGGAAAGCGGTTAGGTTTAGGTCTGGGGTGGGGGTAGGGTTACACGCGATCCTAGGGCGTCATTTAGCTGACGCTAAAGGGCGCCGTCAGATATTGAAGCATGGTCAAAATGCTTCAGTTAAGTGACGCCTTGGGGGTGAGAATGGGCTGAAATAGCACATCAAATAGCCTTGTGCTATCTGCGAACGTTTAAAGAACCCTACGAAGACGTTCAGTGGACTTTCGCAATGGACGTTTTCATTTGACTTATTGATCTGTTACAAATCGCACAAAGCCTATAGGAGACTCGAGCGCCTTGTGTGACCGTGACCTAATAAACCCAAAGTGACAAATAAATGAATCTTCACAATATCAGTAACACCTATTTGGTCTCATTGAAATTCAAGTTAGGCCTAGCTAAATCTGAATTGATTGCAGTGTCGGAATGGGAGCCATCTGTGTCAGTGGAGGGGGTCCAGGGTTCGATCTCGACCAGGCTGCTGCAGAAAACCGCGAATTCCTCAGCACACGAACCAGTGAGAAACAAGAAATGATTCTGCTCAACGATCGACTGGCAGCATACATTGAGAAGGCAAGTGCACAGTTGAACAAAGTGAATATGCCCTTGGTGCAATTTGAAACACTAGCTCTTAGATCACACATACAAAGCTTTGGCAGCACTTTTATCCACAAAAAAAATCTTCCATTCAATTAAACCTCTCAATAGAATTTCTTTTTCTTAACAAGAATAAAAAAAATGTATGATCTAAATAACATTTTTCCACTATGAAGAAAGCTAAACATGGAATAAAAAAATTCCAAGGATGTGTATAGCTTTCAGTTAGCATATATGTCACATTTAGAACACCAGGGTACTATAATTGATAGTCTAACACATATGCTACATATTTTACATTGCTCTTAATGCTCTTGGAGGCAAGCCTCATTTTTAGAGCCATCTTTGACAGCATTTGTCTGATTTGTCCACGGTTGAATGCGTCGCGCGCACTGGCAGTGTGGAAATGCCACTGCTGGCCCACGAGATAAAGCGCATTATTCGCACTTCTGTGGGCATACAGATACAGACAGGGCACATAACACGCGTACTGTGTGTTCTTATTCTTCTGTCGAAACAAAGGTCCGGTCGCTTGAGCAGCAAAACAAACTGTTGGAGACGGAAATCGAGTCCCTGAAGAATCGATTCTTGAAACCCACCGGCCTCCGCTTGCTGTACGAGGAGCAACTCAAGGAGCTGAAGAGGCTGGCTGACCAGATGAGGGTGCAGCGGGTAATCATTTCAACAGATCTTTATATAATAACATACTAATAAATAAAAATCATGTTTTTAAAAACGGCTATAGTACGCCTAGTTAATTTATATTCAGCCATTCAAGTCTACATATTCGCCTATCCATATAAAATATGAGGATAGACCTACATATTTACACAAGACTATGACTTGACAAAAATGTTGCCCATGTTATCTTTGATAACTCTTCGACAAGTCTATGAATCATAATAATGCTTCCAATTCATTTTAAAGGACCTTGCTATTGCTGCAAAGGATGCTATGGCGGGTCAGTTGGAGATGATTAAAATGAAATATGAGGAGGCCTTAGAGATGAGGAGGAAAGCCGAGCTTGACATTGAAGCATTCCGTCCGGTATTTTTCCCATCAAATTGCCTTATAACAGTTATCTTTATTAACAAAGAAATGTGAATGAGATCTCTTACGAACATCTTTTATATTCTCAGGACGTGGACGCAGCCACCTCCGCGCGCATTGCTTTGGAGAAGCAGCTAGAAAACCTGGAGGTGGAAATAGAATTCCTTCAGAGAGTTCACAAACAGGTAATTAAATCCCAACAATTATTTTATTTGCACTTGATAAATAAAATCGAAATGTTTGAATATTTCAAACCGCACGCTTGCAGGAAATCGACGAGCTTCTGAAACAGATATACTCAGCACACGCCTCAGCATTAGACGTCTACAGTCTCCCCGACCTCTCAAACGCTCTCAAGCTGATCCAACACCAGTATGATGACATTGCAGCTAAGAACTTACAGGTGGGTATATCTTTACATTACAAATATTGTTTAAAATGTCTGGAATTGAGGAGGCTGATGAGCATTGAATGCACTGTCTGTGAGTAGTTTTTTATTAAAAGAAAAACGCTGCAGTTTAAACTAAATATGTTACAACACTCCCTAGTCTCCATATTAACAAAACTGCTTTTCATTTGTCAACAGGAAATGGATTCTTGGTACAAAAATAAATTTGAAGATCTCAACAACAAAACAACAAAACATGTGGACACGGTGCGAAGCGTGAGAGAGAATATTGTCACTGCGAAGAAGGATGTAAGTATTAATGATCTTTCTTTAAAAGGCTTACATTTGGGCAACATATTTGATACTCTGTTGATTTTTACTAACAGTAGTTAAATTATTACTCTATTCATTGTTCCCTCTTGTTTTGTTAGATTCAAAATAAGGAGCGTGACTTGGACTCTTTGAAAACCAAAAATGAGGCTTTGGAAGCACAGATCCGTGAGACTCAGGAAAAGTACAGAAAAGAACTAGAAGAACTCCAGGTGAGACGAATATAATTTGGCCAACATGCAAAGTAAAATCGAAGAAAGAAATTCAAAGGATAAATTATTTAAATACTTGTGACAGGCAAGAATTGAGGCCTTGCAGCTTGAGCTGAAATCCTCCAAACAGAAGATAGCGCTGCTTCTGCGTGAATACCAAGATCTGCTCAATGTGAAGATGTCCCTCGAGATCGAAATTACCACATACAGGTAGCTTTTAGCAACTTAAATGTTTATTTAAACATATCCAAACAAATCCCACAACACTTATCTTTCAGAGTAAAACATACCAGAATATAATCATTTCAAAAAGTGCAATTTTCTTAAATTCTTCCTCCTTAATTGTTGTTAACAGGAAGCTCATTGAGGGTGAGGACTCTCGTCTGTCTTCCATGGTCCAGGGCATGCAAACCATGTCCCTCATGAGTGGCAGCATGAGTGTTCACAGTGCTGGAGCCACAGTTGCAGGTGCCCTGGGTGCAGGAGTTGCTGATAGAGCAGGTGGAGGTCTTTTCGGAGGTCCTGCCACAGGTCTAGGAGGAGGTCAAGGTGGTGGTCCTGCCACAAGTCTTGGAGGAGGCATTGGCGGTGGTGTTGGCGGAGGTCTAGGTGGTGGTCTTGGAGGAAGTCTTGGTGGCAGCCCTGCCACAGGTCTTGGAGGAAGCATTGGAGGTGGTGTTGCTGGAGGTCTTGCCGGAGGTAATGAAGGAGGTTTTGTCAATGGGATCACCGGTGGGGTTGGCGGCCCAGGCACCACCGTTGACTATACTGAAGAGCAGGCTGTGGAGATGATAGAGAGGAAGACTGTGCTTATCAGGTAAGCATTAAAATAAAGCTTTCCGCATGTGCTCATTCTGTGGTGTGTGTGCAGAAACTTCGGTTCAATTCTGGCCATAAATCATATTCCCATCACACTCCCTGTATCCCTTCCCACAGTATTTCATGCACATAAAAGGTACAAAAGTTGACACTTGTTCAGTACCCTTTTCAAAGGGCACTAGCCTGACAGCTCTTGTACCTTCTTTTCAGAGAGTGATGGCAAAATAAAAATAGATCTAAGCATTATATCAATAAACTAACAAAATACATAGTGTAGAATTAATATTTTAGAGTTTCATTTTAGCCTGCTGAATAAATTGCATTGTTTTCTCCCACAGAACAGTTAAAACTGAGGATGACATTCTGGAGAGCAACACACAGGAGAAATCTTATTCCATCTCTGGAGCAGCAGATGATGATGATTAGTGGGGTTTTCTGCTCACCAGTCATGCCTTTAGATGCGTGTGCCTTACTCAAACATCAGCTTGTGTCTTGCATTGCTTGTCCATAAATGGAAATAAAGCTCTGAGCATCATGTCCTTGTGTGAGTTTTGTTTCAACCTTGTCTGTGCATAAAATTTGCTCTCACACAATATCAACAGGTGTAAAATCCAGGACACCTTATGACTGTTTATGACGAGGAAGGAACAGACAGGAAAACCTCCAATGGGAGTGTGATTGTGTCACTCAAGGCTCAGTTTATGACCTTGATTCTTTGGCCAAAGGGGAACCCCAAGCAGTACGATATACCCCGCAACAAGAATCACACTCACTATGGCCCCATTCTATCTAAATCTGCCCTCTTCATCTGCATCTGATCCATCCTGATCGGTTCACACTGGAACTGCCAAACACTCAAAACTGTAGAAGTGTGTGATGTGCACTGGAGTACATAAAACTACTGTCGGCAAAAACAGCATGTAGTTGACCTAATTTATCACAAAAAAATGCATTAATATACACTTTAAATGAAAAACTGATGATTCGATTCAAAACAACTTTCTGACCCTACACACTGACCAGACAACTTTAAACCAGACTTGAGTCAATAGTCTACAACAGCAAACAAAATGATAAATGCTCACAACAAGCACTAAAACCTGTGACTGTTGCTAGAGAACTAATCAATCAAGACAAGGAAGTCTAAATATTGAAGGAAGTATCCAGGGCTGCGTTTCCCAAAACCATCGTAAGCCTAAGAAGATCGTACGACTGATCTTAATATTATGGTCTGTTTCCCAAAAGCATCGTAGCATGCACTTGAAAATCTATGTAGAACAACTACGAGTCCTCTAGAGTAATCGTAAATGCCCAGTGCATCGGCAAACAGATTTATGAGGTCACCTGCAGGACAACCGGCAGATTACACCATTAGATTATACTTCAACGTGAGTATAATTGTAGCCTACTTATTGTACACTTTTTTGTACTCATGTTTTGTTTAAAATAATTTATACGTGAAATAATTAAAAAGGGAAGAAAATATAGAAATACACATCTAAATTGAATTAATGAACAAAAACAAATCATAAAAGAAGTAATGTGGGAAATATGCTTTAAAGACTGGGGAAATATAGGGATGCATATAAAAATATCTGTCAATGACTTGCTGACATGCACGAAAACCAGACATGCATTGGGCATTTCCTTCCCTGATCTTTGAACAAGCCTGGTTGCAGTTAGTTTGCAACGTCCCCCAGATGTTTTGTTTTTCCTTATTTGTATGTCCTTTTAAAAAATTAAATATTTGTTTCGCTCTCCTCTAAAAGGACATTAATTGTATCTTTTTTTGGTATCTTCTCTTGTTTTTTTGTTTTTTTTTTTCAACCATTTTGTCAATGCCTAGGTGTTTTATATAGACTTGTCTTGATATCTAATCCACAACAAAAGACGATTATTAGGCCTATAGGTTAAACGTTCATAATACGATTCCGTATAAGGTTATATTTCAGCACTTCTCGAATGGACAGCAACGCTTAAGTAGCACGTAGAACGCGTTGTCGCGCGTTCATGTTAAGTGCATTTTTGGGGAAACGCGAATTGCGGCGAGCGTTCGTACCTTGCACGTAGAGAGCGCTCTTAAGAGCTATACATCGTTAGGGAAAACCCGGCCCAGTATCTGACAAGAGAGAGAATAATTCAAAGGCCTCTTCAGAGGATTTGTGTGAATTTTAGTGCATGTACAAAGACAGACTGACTGGAGACAATAAAGACAAGTGGTAATTGGTAACACTTTACAATAAAGTCTCATTTGTTAACATTAATTACTGCCTAAATTAACATGAACTAACAATCAACAATATATTTTTACAGCATATTATTATAAAACGTTTGATCTTAAAACTATTAGTAAATGTTAAGATTAACTTGAGACTAATAAATGCTGTGGACGTATTGTTCATTGATGTTAACTAATGTTAACAAATGGAACATTCATATTTTATTTTATTAATATAATCATATTCCTATCAAATACATTACACTAATTTATTGTTTTTAATTCACACATAAACACGTATGTAGCATATTATAATGTAACGCTCAAATAACAAACACAATGTAATTAACCTTGTTGACTTTTACATTTTAAGTGGGGATTTAAGGTCATGTGATTATTTAGAAGATTTGGGAGAATCACAGGCCCTCTGGGATTACAATACTAATTTAATCCAAAGCAAAAGGGATTATACCGGATTAAAAGACATTTAAACAGCTATCCAGTCATTTAGTCGTTTGTCTAAATATAGGCTAGTTCGTTGTGACAGCAGTTTTATGTGATTTTTAATACAAAAAAAACAATAACAACATTTACTTGTTTTATTGTTATTATTACAATTATTATACTGTACATATCTCAGCCTAGTTCGCTAGATTTTTTATTTTTTTTTAATTGACAGCACTCGAAAGATTCAGGGTCTTGAACATATTGGGTTAATCAATAGCCCCTCATTACTTTAGCTATACGGTCATCATTTCCACAAGCTCATCCCACCCGAAACGGAGGCGCAATTAACGGCCAGTACTTGCCTTGCATTGTTTCTTCGCAGAAATGCACTGGACATTCTGAAAAACCCAGAAATGTCAATCCTGTCCATTAATGAGGTTGCTACAGACAGTCTTCAGTGATGGTCGCTGATTCATATCATTAGTATGAATTTTGCCAGTCATGTAAAATGCATTGCGAGCTATAGGCGTCGTAAAGTTGGCATGATAAAAATGAACTGCCTCATGCATTGCCTGCATGCGTGCATTATCAATATAATTAGCTGCGTTTACGTGAGTGGCTAGTGACCTTTCAAAGACGGGAGCTATCCAGGGTCCTGCCAGGCCACATGGACACTGAGTGCTGCTGAAAGGGGATTTAAATATGGTCATTACAGCTCATTAGAATCAATGCGAAAAAGCAATAGCTTTCCTTTAAATACGATTTATCAATTAAACATATTTGCATTTATTTTGATCGAAAATAAATATTGAGAGAAAAAGAAGTGTGATTTATCATCCAAATACACATATGTTAAATAAACCTTAGGCCTCATACAGGACTCTAAATAATAATAAATAAAAAAAATCCTCACAAATTATATCCTGAACAACATATAGCCTATCTGGAGATTTTTTTTAGAATACTTTCGTTTTGGATCATCAGAAAATGTCATGCAGACACCCAAATTATTCTAAATGTTTTCAATCCATGACTGAATTGAAATGATATCGTCAATGGAATAACTAATGATCTGTCTGCACATAGCATCACACAAAACTCCCTCAGTCTTTTTTTTTCCCAGCGTCCACTTAAATGATCTGAGGATTAAAAGGGGGCAAAAGTTGGTGCTCTCTAAAACCTGAGAAATCCTGTCACTTTTGCATATGGTTTTAGTGCTTTAATCCCAATTAGGCCCGGCTGACACACATAACTATTCACAGCAAACCTCCCCTGAATACATTTGCCTAAAAATGAACTTCACAAATAGAGCTCGCGGTAAAGGCGTTCAACAGCAGAGAGAATCGGATAGACTGAAGGTTCATTCTTACGCGCTCGAGTGAAAAAGGGTATGAATTTATAAGGTACACCGAAACATTTCAATTCAGACAAGTTTACACCCCATTATGCGAGGCCTTTCAGCTGGGACAAGAGAGGTAAAGTTGGGGAAATTCGGTTCAAAAGGCAGAGCTAACTTTGTCCAGGCTTTGAATAGTGAAACGAAACAGCCCCCTTTCTTTTGAGAGCGTTTAGAAATGGGAGCACGCATGAACAGAGTCAAATCAGGAGCCACTTATCTCGCCACTTTCTAATGCGACTTTGAATATTAGTCTGGGTTAAAATCCCAATCATGTCATCTGGTGGGACTCCCATACAAGCATAATTACTATTCAATCGCGTCACTAATGTCCCACCCGCATCCCCTATCTGCGACGCAGCTGGTCCGCCCTTTGTGAGGCTTGCACTTTCCCGCAACAAGAGCGAGTAGGTTAAGCGCACAAACAGGCATGTAAGATTAATATTTAGGCAAACATATTTTAGTTCATGTTATATAAATAAAAAAATAAATAAATAAATAATCGAAACTTTTTTTGTTTGTTTTTTTTACATTTTCTGGCCTTTGTTTCTTGGAGCATATTAGCTATATTATATTGTGCAATGTTGAAGTATAACTAAACTAAAAAGATATGCGGCAAATGATTAGTACAACCTACAACGTTTTCCTTATTTGCACTGGGAATGAAAGAAAAACGATGAGAAAAGAAAGAGCCTATAAAAGGAGTTTGTATGGCAGAGCATTTATGGTCGGCGTAAAAAAAAAATGTTTTCTATAGAGCTCGCATTGTGCATCGTTCAGATAGAGCGGTGAACCCTTGGCACTCAAGTCCAGTTTGGACGCATGAATGAAACCCCTGGTGGGACACTGCAGTTCTTCACACAGTCGTTGTTACCCTACATTCATGCTTCATTATTTGGCAACCTGTTAAATCAAATCCCACATTTAGCTCGAATTGTAACGCTGAGACCCTGAGAAAATGCTTTCAACCATTTGACCAAGACTTTCTCCGAATCTCACAATCCGACGCGTAAAAAAATGCTCTGGAATGCTCTGTTTGGGTCCACAATATTGTTCCGAAATAAAGCTGCTGCCGTGTAATTAATGTGCCATTTAAAAGACAGGGGACAATGCGAGCGTTCAAGCTATTTGATTTCATTTAATTTTCCATCCCATTTGCTCTGAACACTGCTTTAGCTTCCAAAAACCCTGCTCCAATGAGCGCTTTGGGATGACTTTCACCCTTTGCTTTTCCCGGTTAGGAGGACAGAAAAGAAAACGTCCCCGTTTCCGCCTTTGTGCAGAATTTATTAGTTGGAGAACTCCGACTTTAAAGACACAAGACGAGAATGAGAATGGGCCCGGCTGGTGTGAGAGCTGTAGAGGCCGGACCCGCTGTTGCAGAGCGGATGGGAACCAGTCACAAATGGCAACATTAATAAATAACGCAGCGCACAGCCGGCCTTTGCATGCGCCTATTCAAA